GGTGACCAGGCTCGGTAGGAGGCATTAGTGTTAATGGATACAGAGTTTCAGTTCACATGAGAGAAAGTTCTGGAAACTCCTATTACAGATAGTTGCACAACACTGTAAATGCACTTAATGCCACTGAGTTAGTTGTACACTTCAAAATGCTTAAGTTTTTTACATCTCTCCCCAAGCAGAAAGGGGCACAAAAAAAAGAAAAATGCTTACGTTTTATGTTATGTATATTTACCACAATAATAAAAAAAAAGAGATATCCAAGCAGGAGATATATGAAGGATGGAACAAGGAAGAAAAAAAGAATAATAGAGTTTTTTACTAACAAAAAAAAAAAGAGAGAGAGAGAGAGGACAGAAATGACTTTGTGTGTGTGTGTGTGTGTGTGTCAAATCCAGCAACTTCCATTGTCTCATTCAAAAAAGTACCCAGTGAGCTGGGAGCACAGCACTGAGCAGGGTGAGATTTCTGCTCTCCCATCGCTTACATTGTACAGGATGATTAAAATGCAGGGACAACAGGTTTAATTATTAATTTATTTCTTTGAGACAGAGTCTCACTCTGTTGCCCAGGCTAGAGTGAGTGCCGTGGCGTCAGCCTCGCTCACAGCAACCTCCAACTCCTGGGCTCAACCAATCCTCCTGCCTCAGCCTCCCCAGTAGCTGGGACTACAGGCATGCGCCACCATGCCCGGCTACTTTTTTCTCTATATATTTTTAGTTGGCCAATTAATTTCTTTCTATTTTTAGTAGAGACGGGGTCTCGCTCTTGCTCAGGCTGGTCTCGAACCCATGTTTGTTTGGTTTTTTTTTTTGTTGTGTTTTTTTTTTAAGACAGAGTTCATTCTGTTGCCTGGGCTAGACTTGCCATGGCGTTAGCGTCACTCAACAGCAAACCATCCAACTTCTGGCTCAAGTGATCTCCTGCCTCAGCCTCCCGAGTAGCTGGACTACAGGCATGTGCCACCAGCCCTGGATCAATGTTTTTCTTATATTTTACTTGGCCAATTTAATTCTTTCTAATTATATGTTGAGACGGGTTGGTCTCTGTCCTTGCTCTAAGA